AGCCCATGGGAGCTCTGGGTGCCAAGGGGGTACCCGGGGGTGCTGGGTGCTGGGACCCCCCCGTGTGTGAGGGAGGGGGTCCCCTGGCACGGCTGCTCCTGCGGGCAGTGCCCAGCGCGCCCGAGATCGACCTGGCAGAGTCACTGGTGGCCGATAACTGCGTGAGCTTGGCATGGAGGATGCCCGAGGAGGGCGGCAAGATCGACCACTACGTGCTGGAGTATCGCAGGACCAACTTCGAGGGGCCCCCCCGTGCCAAGGAGGACCAACCCTGGATGGTCATCGAGGGCATCAAGGGCACCGAGTACACCCTGTCTGGTGAGGGCACGGGACTGTGCCAGGGGCTGAGGGCAGGGCCAGGGGCTCTAGGGGACAATACCCACCCTGTGCCCCTCTCTGTGAGCCTGCTGTGCCCACAGAGCTGTTTGACATGAAGCACATGAATTTTTGGGCACAGGGGCTGGGTGGCAGTACCAGGCTCTGTAGGGCACATGCCCACCCCCTGCCCTGCTCTGTGAACCCGCTGTGGCCACAGGGCCGAGATTTGACATGAAGCACATGAATTTTCAGGCACAGGGGCTGGGTGGCAGTGCCAGGCTGTGCAGGGGACATGGGGATGGCAGTGCCCACCCTGTGACCCCACTGTGCCCGCAGGGCTGAGGTTTGACATGAAGTACAGGAATCTGTGGGCACTGGGGCTGTGCCAGGGGCTGGGTGGCAGTGCCAGGCTGTGCAGGGGACATGGGGATGGCAGTGCCCACCCTGTGACCCCGCTGTGCCCACAGGGCCAAGGTTTAACATGAAGCAGATGAATTTTCTGGCACAGGGGCTGGGTGGCAGTGCCAGGCTGTGCAGGGGACATGGGGTTGGCAATACCCATCCCATGACCCTGTTTTGCCCGCAGGCCTGAGTTTTGACATGAAGCAGATGAATTTTCAGGCACAGGGGCTGGGTGGCAGTGCCAGGCTGCTCAGGGGACAGGGGGGTGGCAGTGCCCACCCTGTGCCCCTCTCTGTGAGCCCGCTGTGCCCACAGGGCTGAGGTTTGACATGAAGTACATGAACTTTCGGGTGCGGGCGTGTAACAAGGCCGTGGCGGGCGAGTTCTCGGAGCCGGTCACGCTGGAGACCAGAGGTGGGTACCGGGCTGGGGTGGTTGGCAGGAGTCCCCCCGTGCCACCCCGGGCTCAGGGGGCACTCACAGCGGCTGTCGCCAGCGTTCACGTTCAAGCTGGATGCCAGCACGTGCCACCAGAACCTGCGGGTGGAGGAGCTGAGCGTGGAGTGGGACGCGACGGGCGGGAAGGTGCAGGACGTGAAGGCGCGCGAGAAGGACGGCAAGGGCAGGACGGCCTCGCCCGCCAACTCCCCTGCCAGGTAGTGCCAACCCTCCCCAGGGTCACCCTGGAGCTGTGTCCCCTTCCTGGGCAGTGCCAACCCTACCCCTCTGTCCATGCCAGGGTGGTGCAGTCGCCCAAAAGGATGTCCCTGGGCCGCGGGGGCCGCGATCGCTTCACCGCTGAGTCCTACACGGTGCTGGGTGAGAGGGGGGGCACCCTGGGGGCACCGGGGGGGGCCCTGCAGGGACCTGGGGGTGCAAGTAGGGGTGGGGGCACCGAGGGGAGGTGATGAGAGGGCACCCCGTGGGTATTTGAGGGGATCCCACGGGCACAGAGGGAGCAGGGCACAGGGGTGAGGGAGGGGGGTGTGGGGCACCCAGAGGGACCTGGCAGGTTTGGGGACAGGATGGGGTACCCCTGGGTGCTGGGGAGGCCCTACAGGGACCCTGGGGGTGCTGGGGGGACCCTGCAGGGACCCTGGGGTGCAGGTAGGGGTGGGGGCACCGAGGGGAGGTGATGACAGGGCACCCCATGGGTGTTTGGGAGGACACTGTGGGCACAGAGGGAACAGGGCCCAGGGGTGAGGGAGGTGGGTGTGGGGCACCCAGGGGGATCTGGTGGGCTTAGGATGGGATGGGACACCCCTGGGTGCTGGGGGGGGCCTGCAGATGCCCAGGGGTGTGAGTTGGGAGCAGGGCATGGAGGGGAGAGGGCACAGGGGGTGATGCAGGTGGGCACGGGGCACCCAGAGGGACCCACTGGGGCTGAGGACGGGACCGGGCACCCCGTGGGTGCTGCAAAGCCCCTGCAGGCACCGAGGGCAGGGGGCACACAGAGGGTGATCCGAGTGGCCACAGGGCACCCAGAGGGCCCTGGCAGGGTGGGTGCCATGTGCCAGAGCTGTGCCCACCCACAGGGGACACCCTGATCGATGGGGACGAGCACTACTGGGAGGTTCGGTACGACCGGGACAGCAAAGCCTTCGGGGTGGGGGTGGCATATCGGAGCCTGGGCAAGTTTGACCAGCTGGGCAAGACCTCGGCCTCCTGGTGCCTCCACCTCAACAACTGGCTGCAGCTCAGCTTCAGTGCCAAGCACGCCAACAAGGCCAAGGCGCTGGACGTGCCCGTGCCCGACTGCATCGGCGTCTACTGCAACTTCCACGAAGGTGGGCGGGCTGGGGGGCACGGGGCAGGGCTGGGGGTGGGCATGGGGGTGTGCCAGTGCTGTGGGTGTCACCACCGCCACCATGGGAATGAGTGTGGGTGTTGCCATGATCATGGGGATCAGTGTGATCACCGTGGGTATTGCCACCACCACTGTGGGCATTGCCACCACCGTGGGAACCAGTGTGGGCATTGCCATGATCATGGGGACCAGTGTGATCACCGTGGGCATTGCCACCACTGTGGGCATTGCCACCACCACCGTGGGCATTGCCACCACCACCGTGGGCATTGCCACAACAACCATGGGCATTGGCACCACCATGGCTAATAGCATGTCCACCATGGGCATTGCCACCACCACGGGCATTGGCACTATCATGGGAACTACTATGGGCATTGCCACCACCACCGTGGGCATTGCCACCACCATGGGAACCAGTGTGGGCATTACCATGACCATGAGGACCAGTGTGATCACCGTGGGCATTGCCACCACCACTGTGGGCATTGCCACCACCATGGGAACCAGTGTGGGCATTACCATGACCATGAGGACCAGTGTGATCACCGTGGGCATTGCCACCACTGTGGGTATTGCCACCACCATGGGAACCAGTGTGATCACTGTGGGCATTGCCACAACAACCATGGGCATGGCCACCACCATTGCTAACAGCATGCCCACCGTGGGCATTGTACCGTCACCATGGGCATTGCCACCACCATGGCCACCAGCATGTCCAATATGGGCACCAGAGTGTCCACTGTGGGCATTGCCACCACCATGGCCACCAGCGTGTCCACCACGGGCACCAGAGTGTTCACCATGGCCATGGCCACCCCCATGAGACTGACATGCCCACCGTGGGCAGTGCCAGCCCCATGGCCACCTGTGTGTCCACTATGGGCAGTGCCACCACTGTAGCCACCAGAGTGCCCAGCGTGGGCACCAGTGTGACCACCACGGGCATTGCCACCACGGTGGGTACCGACACATCCACGACAGTCATTGCCAGCCCTGTGGGTGCCAGCATGTCCACCGTGGGCACTGCCAGCCCCATGGGCATCACCACTGCCATCGCCACCACCATGGGCACTGCCAGCCCCACGGGCATCATTGTGGCCATAACCACCACTGTGGGTGCTGTGCCAGGGCTCTGCAAGCTCTGTGCCCACCCCGTGCCCACCCTGTGCCACTCCCCTGTGCCCCCACAGGCTTCCTCTCCTTCTACAACGCCCGGACCAAGCAGCTGCTCCACACCTTCAAGGCCAAGTTCACGCAGCCCGTGCTGCCAGCCTTCATGGTATGGGGTGGGCAGGGCCGGGGCCGCTCCCCAGGGGGTGCCAGGGCCTCGACCCCGACCCCTCACGGCCCCTCCTGTGCCCTCAGGTGTGGTGTGGAAGCTTCCAGGTGACCTCGGGGCTGCAGGTGCCCAGCGCCGTGCGGTGCCTGCAGAAGCGGAACAGCACTGCCAGCAGCTCCAGCCTGCCCTAGAGAGCCGTGCCCCCTCCCACCGCGGGCACACCCCCTCCCCGGGGGCACGAGCACTGAGTGTACCCCCCGACACCCCCCCGGGCACCCCCCGAGCGCCGCCCTGGCAGGGCAGTGCCAGCCTCCCCCTCCCCACCACTCTGTGCCCCCACCCCCCCTGCCACCGAGAGCTGCTTTGGCCGGAATAAATCGGGATGTAGGAGTGACCTGGGCGTGGGTGGGGGGCACGGGAGGGGCACGGGGCGGGGCTGGTGGGGTGGCACCCCCAGGGCACCCCCAGGGCACCGGGAGACATGAGGGGGCTGAGTGGGGCACAGGGTTCTTTACACGGTGCTCCCCAAATATCCAGAAGGGTCACCCCTCCCCGGTGCCCCCCAGCACTAAGGGGTGCCCTGGCGAGGGGGCCTGAGGCTGGAGGGGTACTGCTGCCCTGAGTGGTGCTGGCACAACGTGGGGGGCTGCCGGTGCCCCCCCAGACTGGCACCATCAGCCCTGAGCAGCTCCTCTGTGCCCCCACCACAGACACGAGCATGTCAGGCCTCAGCCCCCCCCGTCCCACCCCCCTACCCCTCAGCCAGGCTCCCACCCCCACCCTGGGGACCCCCCAGTGTCACCCAAAGGTCCCAGTGTGGGGGTACCCACCCTCGGGGTGCCCACCCTCGGGGGATCCTTGCTCAGGGGTGCTTATGGGGTGCCAACCCTGGGGAGGGGTCCCCGATCTCAGGGGGTCCCACCTTGGGGGTCCCAGCCTTGGGGAGGGCACAGAGGGAGACCCTTGGGGGGCTCCCGGCCCAGGGGTCTCTCAGAGGTGCCACCCCAGTGCCGGGGGCTCAGCCTGGGGGTGCCCACCCTGAGGGGGTTCCTGACCCAGGGGTGTCTCTGGGGTCTCAGTCTTGGGGTCCCACCTTGGGGGGTCCCAGAGGTCGCAGCCTGGGAGAGCCCCTCCAGTCCCACCCAAAGCTTCCTGGCCTGGGGGTCTCACCCTGAGGGGGTCCCAGACATGGGGGTCCCACCCGGGGGTGCCCAACCAGGGGGGTCCAGCCTGGGGGTGTCTCCAGCCGCGGGGGCTCCCACGGGGGGTCCCGACCTGGGAGAATCTCAAGGGTCCCGGCCAGGACAACCCACCCGGGGGTCCCTGTCCCGGGGGTCCTGCCCAGAGGACCCCCCGTACCTCATAATCCCGGTACCCCCCTCAGAAGGCGAGTGTGAGCCCCCGCAGCCCGACCCCACACCCTCTGGTAGCCGTGCGGGGAGGGACCGGGAACTGGCACCGGGAAAGAACATTGGCACCGGGAACCGGCACCGGGAAAGAACACTGGCACCGGGAACTGGTACCGACCACCGGGAAAGAACACTGGCACCGGGAACCGGCACCGGGCACGGGGAAATAATACTGGTACCGGGAACTGGCTCCGGGAACCGGCACCAGGAAAGAACATTGGCACCGGGAACCGGCACTGGGCACGGGGAAAGAACACTGGCACTGGGAACCGGGAAAAAACACTGGCACCGGGAACCGGCACCGGGAACTGAGAAACAACGCTGTCGCCGGCACCAGGAACCGGGAACTGGCACCAGGAACGGGGAAACGACGCTGGCACCGGGAACCGGCACCGGGCACCGCGGGGAATGCCCAGGTGGCCCCGGGCGGCGGGAGGGACTCGGGGGTTCGGTGCCAGGGTGGGACAGTGCCCGGGGGTGCCGGAGTCAGTCCCGGGAATCGCTCCTGGGTGCCCGGGTGTCGGTCCAGGGGATACCGGGATTAGGGCAGAGGATGCAGGGGTCGGTCCCGGGGGTCCCCGTGATCGGTCCC